ATCTAATTACTCTCGGACTATGATTAACTGTATAACTTGTAAGTTCCAGTAACCAATGAAAATTCAGGGCTACTTGATCAGAAGTGAAGAATTTCAAAATAACAAGGGCAGAACATTAAAACAAGCACAGGACCCTTCTAAGTTTGGGGCTCTGTGTCTCCAGACAGATAGCATTTCCATAAAGTAGGTTCTTCTCCTTTCTTTCATGAAACTCCCTCCATTTAAATTACTGTTTTATAGTCTTAAGACACCGAGGAGAATGAAGACCTATACTCCAGCCTAAAGTGAGTCTGGTAGTAATAGTTATTATTTTCTTCTCCTGGTAGAAGATCAGACACGGATTTTTCCCCCATTGGAGTTTAGAACTTTTCTGATAACTATTTTTTTAAAAGATTTATTTATTTGTGCATACAGAACTGGGGTACAGGCCAGAGGCTCAGGGGCGGTGAGAGGCTTCACCATAGACAGAGTGGGGAGCAGAACAGGCAGATCGACGAAGTACACTGCTGAGGGGAGCAACAGGCGGGTCAGAAGAGGTCTGCCACACCTTATGGTCACCTCCGGGGAAGGCGGGAATCGAACTCATGCGGAAGTGGCTTTAGCTTCTCAGTGCTGTGCTGTAACCCGCTGCGCCACCAGGGAGGGCCACTTTTCTGATAACTATTGCTTTGAATTGAACCTATATGACTAGGGATAAAATGGTGAATCACGTGGTGCTGGATGTGGGGTTTTCTTAGATAGTCCAAGATGTAGTTTAAGACGTGTGAACCATCAAATGAAAAGTCTATTTTGAAGGCAACTTATTCTTCATTCTTTATTTCTACTGAATTCTCTACTTAGCCTAACCTTTTAAATTCTAGTATGAGGTAAAGTTATCACCAGTGCACATTTAATATTCATAGACAATAAAGTAATTTTAGTAAAATTAGCTATTAACATTTATATCAAAAAAGAATGATAAAACCTACTTGGTGGTAGTGGTTTTTCCTTTGAATGTTTCTTCAGGAAATCCTTTGGAGAAGGTACTTCAACTTTTGCTGGCCCCATAGTTTTCATTGAAGTTTTATATTTTTGCATGTCATTTTTTATAGCTGTCTTAAAAATTGATGTATACCTAAAATTTTAAAAAGTTGTAGTATTTATATTTTTAGTAGAGATTATTAATAGTTTTAAAAACTATTAATTGATAATACAAGTAGCACTATGAAGCTATCTGCAGCCACTGAGGTATGAGTTCAACCCCCAGCCAGGGAGGTGACGCACATGGTGTGCCAGATCTCTCCTGTCTCCGTATATCTGCCTATTCTGTTCCCCACTCTGTCTCTGGTGAATCCTTTCCCCACTACCCTGCACCTCTGGCCTGTATTCCAGTTCTTGTATCCATAAATAAATAAATCTTATTAAAAAGGTTTTAAAAAGGATATATATTTCTAATTTACATGCCTATATTTATATGGAGATTAGCCATAAAGTATATAATTCCAAACCATAGGTAAGCTGGACAGAAATTCTATCCTAAGATACAGGAACCAGGATAATGATGTTCTGATATTTTTTGACAGATGTTGATGTCTCTGGCTATAATTGTGGCATTTTCTATTTCTGCTTTTAGTTCTATCAGTTTATACTTCATATATTTTGAAGTGCTATTATAAATATATGTCATTTAGGATTATCATATATTGAGAAATTGATTCTCATTATAAAATAACTCAATCTATTCTAAAATTCAGTACTTTAAAAATCTACCTTGATATTAGTAATAACCACTTCAGCAAAAATTCAGTTGCATTTCTACATGCAACCAATGAATTAGAAGAAAGATAAAAAGAAATCCCATTTACAATTGCACCAAAAAAAAAAAAAAACCTCTCCTGACCCGCCTGTTGCTCCCCTCAGCAGTGTACTTCGTCGATCTGCCTGTTCTGCTCCCCACTCTGTCTTTGGTGAATCCTCTCACCCTCTGCATCTCTGGCCTGTACCCCAGTTCTGTATGAATGAATAAAAAAATCTTTAAAAAAAAAAAAGACTGAAATACTTGGGAGTAAGCTTAATGAAGGAGTTGAAGGGCCTGTATATTGAAAACTGTAAGGCTCTGTTAAAGGAAATAAAAGAAGGCACACAGAAATGGAAAGATTCCATGCTCATATACTAGAAGAATAAGCATCATTAAAATGGCTACCTTACCTAAAGCAATTTACAGATTCAGTCTAATACCTATTAAAGTCCCCAAAATACAACCTTAAAATTGAATGCAATTCTTTTCTTTCTTTCTTTTCCTTTCCATAGTAGGCCAGAGTTGCAGGAATGAGGGAGGAGAGGTGAGAGGACTCCCCAGAGACAGAGTTGGGAGCAGAACAGTTGGATCCATTAAAATACTACCAAGGGGGAGCAGTGGGCAAAACAGAAGTGGCCTGCTGCACTGTATGTGGATTAGCTGGCTCGCTGGTGATTGAACTCAAGCCATATTAGTGATAGCACTGGGACTTAACCGTTAGGTCATCAGGAGATGACCTTATTCTTTCTTATGATTAATTTTTGCTGACAGTAGGGGATTGAATCAGCAAATTTGTGGTAGTGTGATGAGAAGTTGGTTAAATATTTTATAAGGTTATGTTTTTATACATTACTGGTTTGCATACATGTTATCTTGTCAAGTGAAAAATCTCATTTTTATTCATGAGTTGACATGAATGTACCCTCACAGAAAGTTCCTTGGTACCACATCTGAATGCCTTAATTCCCTCTCATCACAGTGCATTTTCCTACTCACTTCTTCACAGTAAACCAAAGAGCTTGCACTGTCACACTCACATTCACCATCTGACACAGTATGGCAATGTTATAACTGAAGAAGTTAATGTTTGCCAAATGAATAAGGCTGTTTCTATAAAATTTAACGAAAAAAATCACCTAGCTGCAGTAAAGTTTTTTAATCTATCAATGAACAGAGTATCTAATAAAAAATCTTGTTCAAATTGATTACAGGAAATGCAATCTGACAACAGTAACAGAGAGGAGGAGTTTTATCTTGTGCAGTATACAGGAATTTATGACCAAAAGTCTATTCACAACAATTAATTTGAGCACTCCTCATAAATTCTGCAACTACATCATAACTTACTTTACATTCTTCTTTCTTTCTGCTAGATTTGGAAGCTAGGAGAAATCAATATAGGTCCTCCTCTGGTTAAAACCACATGATCTTCTTGCTTGTTAGGAAATTAATACACACTATGTAATTACCAGTAAAAATAATTGACCCTTAGGGTTGAATGATTACTAGTTCATTTTGTTCGTTTTTACAGATTAAAATATGAGTGAAAGTTTATTCACAATCCCAAAAGTAATCAGTTACTGAGCCTATTCCTTGACTTTAACACTCTTTCAATGTGGTTTTGATCTGCATCAGGAAAAGAAGAAAGAAAAGGCCAAGTATTTTAAGTCCTAGAAGGAATGGTATTTTCTCCCTTTGTTATCCTCTCTTCTCCCTATAGATTTAAATAAGATTTAAATCTTTACACGGGAGAGTAATGGAATGTTTACTTTGTGGTTACCTTTCTGAAATTTGGAGAATGTAATATCTGTGCAAAGTTTTAAATTCAATTGCATAGTTTTGAGTCTATCCACCTACTTCTCCTTCCATCCAACATTCAGATCTGAAAAAGAACTCAGACCCTATCTAGTCCATCTATTTTACTTCACAGATCAAACAGATTGAGCCTCGGAAACAAACAGGAAGTTACATTTGACAAAGATCTTTGGGAAAAGACAAGTAATATTCCTTTCCAGAGGGAGCAGTTCTGTAGTAAGAAATATAGCGGCGAGCACCTGAACCCAAATATCAAGTATCTTAAATGCAGTAAAATAAAACTGTTTTTCTCTTTCCAACAACAGGTAATTTCACCCTATGTTATGTACCACACCATGTACGTACTGACATTAGATAAATTACTCAACAGTGACATCCAACAGGAAACTAATTTTTAAATGACCCTCTCTCAGCACTGCTCGGTGCTGAGACATCAAATATCTGGATTTTGCAATCTCTTCTCTAAGTTGTCATCCAAGGCTACTTCATGAGACAAAAATGTTACTTTTTCAGTCATATGATGCTTAGTTAATCCTGAATGGAATAAATGTTCCCCTTTTTGATTCAAATGACAATCTTGGTTTACCCACATACCTAGGCGGCTGGGGAGGTTCCTTCCAGTCACTGGGTATGAGGTTATAAATGCTCTCAGAAGAGCATTGCGGATCCATGGCCATCAGATGGCTCCTTAAGAACTACTCAACTTTTTTCTCACTATGCTAATTAATATCTCCGTCCCTTTCTCCACAGCTTCCTTTCCTACTCGCTTCCGTTCACAGAAACTAAGTTTTCTTTCTTTCATATAATTCCCCTTTGGCCTCTTTGCAGTCCTCTATGGGGAAGAAAACGATTTGCCCCTTCTGTTCCTCTTGGGTTTGCTTAGCGGTGTTGACGGCTCGGTTCCCATGGAAACAGTTACTAGGCCACGGGAAGTGGAAAGCAGCCCTGCAACTTAGGTTTCCTTTTTGCTCTGCTCCACAAATTCTTTTTCTGCCTGAGAAACTAAATATGGAAAACACTGTTTGTATGTGCATTGGGGAGTAGTGAAGTGAAGAACGGCATCCCCTTTCACATGTTGCTCTTTTTTGTCTGCATTTTTGGAGAAAGTCTATTGAAATCAATCAGAAGGAGCCGCTGGCGTGCAGGCGTCATACAATAAGACTCTTCTGCGCAAGCTCCAAATCCGCGGGGCGGGGCGAGTGGCCACCACCACCCTGACGCACAGCCGCAGCGAGAGCGGTACCCAGGAAAGGGAGATGGGAGGGGCCTAGCGGCTCGAGTGGGTGGAGCGAGGGGTCACGTGACCGGAGCGAGGCTGCTGCGGGCGTGGGCGTGGCGCGCGGCGCGCGGGCCGGCTGCAGCGCAGGCGCACAGGCTGCCGCGCGGGGCGGGTCTGGCCTAGCGCGGCGTTCCTCCCGGGCTGTGGGCGAGCTGGGCCGAGTGCCAGAGGTGCGGGCTGGGTCTCGCGGCGGCCCTAGCGGCTCCGGGAAGGTCCTTCCCATTTCCTTTCCTTTCCCCCGTCTTCTCAGTGTGATTTTCTTGGTGAGTTATTTGAGGAAAAAGAAAGGGAAATTGTAGACACCAGTCCACCCCTGTCGCATGCCTAGACCTCCCTCCTTCCCCTTCCCGCTTCTCGGTGTGGGGCGAAGCTCGACCTGCGCACATTTTCCCTGCTGCTGGCGGCCCGCGCCGGCGGACCTCGTGCGCAGTCCTGCCCGCCACCTGTGCGAGTGCGCGCTGGTCCCCCGTTCCTCGCATCCACCCACCTGTCGTGGCCCTTCCCCCGCTGCGCCTCCCCGCTTCCTCCGGCTGCTCGCTGGTCCCTGCGCCCCCGTTCCCCTCCTGGTGGTCTTTGTTTCTGAAATGAGCTGCCTAAACTGGAAGAAGCTGATTCAGTGGACTCTTGAATTTTTGCCCATTTTTTCGTGTCCCTTTTTTGAAAATTACCTTCTGAGAGAAGGTTGTTATTTCGTTTTGGATCTAGTTTTTCCCTACGTCGACTTGTGCCCTTAAGACTGCCGAGGGGAACTCATTTGTAGATCGAAGCCTATGCCATCCGATTGTCTGACAGGCAGCTGGACAGTATGACTTGAAAAGAAAGAAAAATGGTTCAGCGAGCCTCCCCGAGGCCGCGAGCCAGAGGGAATACTCGAAGTTACGGGAGACCACGGTCTTGGTCTTCTCGCTGGCAGGTGTCTGGTGGAGGGATTCAAACGCATGGTGATTTGGTTAACTTGAAATTCTGCCTAAAGGGCATTACTGAAGGTGTAGTTGGGGTAGTTGGGGCTCCTAGTGAATTTCATTATTGAATAATAAATTTAGATTTTGGTATTTTTTTAATTCCAGTTCATCAGATTTTAATTTTTTTCCCTGGGCTTTTAAAGACATTTTATTTCAGATGAATGACACCTAGAGGGCTGATGCTCCATATCGAGTCTCAGTTTTCCAAAACATGTAGATACCATGTTGCTCTTTCTTCTCTCCTTTGAGAATTTTATGTTTTGTGCAGCATGTATAGAGAAAAATTCTTTGGGGAACTGTTCTTTATACATGCTAAGATATGAACAAAGGACTCCAAATGGTAACACCGTTAACCAAGCAGATAATTATTGGCCAAAGCTTGTAAATTTTCTAATTATAAGGGGCACTTTGGGACCATTAATGTTAATCAGTTCCTAAAGGAGCCAGTAGGGGCAAACCATGATTTCTCCAGTTAGGGCAAACTGGCTTTAGCAAGTATTGACTTTCTGTTATTAGTGAATACAGTAATTACACTAATAGTTATATTTTTTGTGGTTTTAAAAATACTAAGCTGAATTTTAAGAGTTCACTGTAATTCCTCTTGCCTTTTGAAAGTATGTTTACAAAGAATACATCTCTAATTTTAATAATTTCCTGAAAATGACTGTTTGAAGAAAATGCTTATACCCCCATGTCTGCAGCGACTTAACACTGTATACTTTCAGAAGCAACCGCTGAGGGCCTGATAATAAATATTTCAGGCCTTGGCAGGCAAGATGGTTTCTGTGGAAACTACTCAGCTCTACCATTGTGTCTCAAAAGTAGCCCAAAACAGTGTACTGAAAGAATGACCAAGTAAATGAGCAAAGTTGTGTACCTGTGGAACTTAATTTACAAGAAATGGCTGTGGGTCAGATTTGACCTGTGTGGTTTGCACACACCTCTGATATAAAGTGGTTTTATATACAAAAAAAGATTTTATTTTTTTGCTAAGGATTATTTAGGTGAATAAAATGGGCATAGATAGAAATACAAATAAGACAATTAGGAGGAAAGTAAATCTGACAGAAACATTCTTTGCAATTTTTTTTTCTAAGTTACAGAATTGAAACGGGTACTAAATGCACTAAATCTTTGGAATTAAATACTCAAGACCATTAAGAGGATATCAGCAGAAGGAAAGGGTTAGTCAGATTTGATAACAAGATTAAGGAAAGATAACTTGTGAACTTATAAAATTCTGCTTTTGATTTCTAAGATCCCAGTGATTACAACAAGGCCCTGGAGTGTATGGTTCTTCCCCCTCTACATAGAGAGTATTAGCCTGCATAGAAAACAGTCTTGAATCACTTATGAGTACTACTGTTTTCTCCGAATTTTTAAAAACAAACCATAAAGAAAATGCCCTAGACTTGTGCCTAAATATTTTGATTAGTGTTTTTCATCCATTGCCATTAGGTGACAATGACTCAGTACAGTATGTATGAATATTATGTGTCAATGCTATGATGACCACTTTGAATTTTTTTTTAAGATTTATTTATTCATACAGAATTGGGGAACAAGCTAGAGGTGCAGGGGCAGTGAGAAGCTTCACCAGAGACAGAGTGGGGAGCAGAACAGGCAGATCGAGGAAGTACACTGCTGAGGGGAGCAGTGGGTGGGTCAGAAGAGGTCTGCTGCGCCATGTGGGTCACCCCTGGGGCGAGGATGGAACTCCACTGAAGCCACTGCAGCCAGCTTGCAGTACTGTGTCCTAACCTGTTGTGAAATTAGGGAGGGCCCCCCATTTTGAAATTATTTTAAATAGGTGGGAGATACTTGTGTACTTTTCAGTATAATTATACTCAAATTCTGTAGTGATTCATAGGGATAAGATAACCTAGAAGAATAATTCAGATACATTTCATATCTTTTTTTCTCCCTGATCACTAAATAGTTAAATCACTAAGTTTTAGCTGTCATTGTGAAATATTTTATATTATTTGGTTATTTTTCTTTTATATTACTTGATGGTAGAAATTCCTTCAGTATTGTTTAATGAAATTCTTTTCCATAATACAGGCTTACTGAGTAAGAAATAGTGTCCGCCTGTTAATAATTTGGGAAAACATGGAAAGGGTCAATTCATTAATCTGTATAATGAGGTAGATAATTGTATTATTACATTGGGCTATTGAGAATATTATGATCTGTATGCATTTATAATAACCTGGGTTTTTTTTTTTTTTCTGTTATAGACTTCACACTTTTTATAAAGGTTGACTTCCCTCAGCATCAGCAAATCTTCTGTCAGATTGGTTCCTGTGTGTCGTATGTTGAAAGTCACTCAGTTAAGCACAGCACATACAAACTGAAGAGACACTAGGACATGTATTCCCTTTTTTGACAGTTTTAATTTGCTTGTAAGTTAACTTCAGTTTTAACTTAAAGTGGGTTTAAATGTTTAATTATAGTACATAGTTTAAGTAGCATAGACAATGACAAAATTTTGACTTGTCTGGCATACATTTGTGTTTTCATTGTGGGTATATTTCCAAAGACAGGGATTTGACCAGCATGGCAAATTGTACTGCTTCTTTGGATTCCAGAATAATATTTTCCTCTTTATTACTGGCAATATTCCAGAGTTTTTTTGGCTCCCATTCTGGAGTCTGAATTTGAGTTAAGTTTCTACTGTTGATGTTTACAGGACAGAAACAAAAGTGATAATTGCCTGAAGATAGTTATAGATATGCAGACATTGATTTTGTTGCTAATTATTTTTTTCTAAATTTGATAACATTGTGTTTTTTAAAGGTTTATTTATGCATACAGAACTGGGGTACAGACCAGAGGTGTGGGGAGGGGGTGAAAGGCTTCACCAGAGACAGAGTGGGGAGTAGAACAGGCAGATTGATGAAGTACACTGCTGCGGGAAGCAGTGAGCGGGTCAGGAGAGGTCTGCTGCGCCATGTGGGTCACTTCCCTGGTTGGGAATCGAACTCATGCTTCATTGGCTGTGGTGGCTGCATAGTGCTGTGTTTTAATCTGTTGTTCCACCAGAGAGGGCCAGCGTTTTTTACTTTTTGCCCATCGTAAGGCCTTCAATATGAAAAATATTTTAGAGTGGTTCTTAACAGTACAAGACATAACACACACACAACACACACATACTTCTTTGCCCTAAAGTTTGGAAAATTATTCAAGCATTCTGTAAGCAAATGTCATTTCATTGTGGTTTCGTATTATGAATGCTATAACTAAGAAATTTATGACTAACGTAATAGTCTGTAAACATTTTTATAACTGAGAAATTACATATATATAGGCCACTCAGCTTTTTAAATTGCAAATAAATAGCATCCCAACTCCAAATAATCTTTATTTAAGTGGGTAATAAATCAGGAAACCATGAAATGATTTCCATGATAGCAAAACACAAAGTTTATTTAGTATTTTTATTAAAGCACTTATGATGTTTTCTAAGTAAAATTTCTATTTATAGTTACAAATTATTAAAGTTTTAATTATTCAGTGCCTTGAGATTTGAAAACTTTAAAAGAATAATATGTCATACATAAGATTTTGGGTTGGAATATTTTTTAAATGTCCTCAGCATTTAGAAAATTTTCTAACAGTTTATGCACTGTATGCATGGTTACATTAAATCACATCAAGATTTTACTTTGTTGAAATCGGTAACCAGATACTTTTTTTGTTTTATGTTTTTGAAAGGGCTAAATCCAGTCTTTAGGTTGGCTGGGCAGAAGTGTGAAAAGAATGCTTCACCTTAACCGATGTCAGCATCTGAAACAAATAACCCAGAAATGTTTTTCTAGTGTACATGTTAAAACGGACAAAAATAAACAGCTATTTTTTCCAAGAACCTTTGCACTTGCAGAATTAAGGAAGTCATGGCACTCTTTCCACTCTCTTGTTGGAGACAAAAATATTATCCTGATGGGACCTCCTGGTGCTGGGAAAACAACAGTGGGCAGAATAATAGGTCAGAAACTCCGTTGTTGTGTCATAGATGTGGATGATGATATCCTTGAAAAAACCTGGAATATGAGTGTGTCTGAAAAATTACAGGATGTTGGTAATGAACAATTTTTAGAAGAGGAAGGAAAAGCTGTGTTAAACTTCTCTGCATCTGGAAGTGTGATTTCCCTTACGGGGTCCAATCCAATGCATGATGTTAGCATGTGGCATCTGAAGAAAAATGGAATAGTTGTATACCTGGATGTACCTCTACTAGATATCGTTAATCGTCTAAAATTAATGAAAACAAGTAGGATTGTAGGTCAGAATTCTGGAACATCTATGAAAGAGTTACTTAAATTTAGAAGCCAGTATTACAAAAAGTGGTATGATACTCGTGTGTTTTGTGAAAGCGGGGCTTCCCCAGAAGAGATAGCTGACAAAGTACTTGCTGCGGTTAAAAGATACCAGGATGTGGACTCAGAAACATTCATATCAACGAGACATATTTGGACTAAAGACTGTAAACAGAAGGTTTCAACAAAATTCTTTAGTGAAGCTGTGATTGAGGGCTTAGCTTCTGATGGTGGACTCTTTGTTCCTGAAAAGGAGTTTCCAAAATTAAACTCTGGAGAGTGGAAAAGCCTAGTAGGAGCAACTTACATAGAAAGAGCACAGATACTATTGGAAAAATGCATCCATCCTGCTGATGTACCTGCTGCCAGGCTTGGAGAGATGATTGAAGTTGCTTATGGAGAAAACTTTGCTTGCTCAAAAATTGCCCCTGTCAGGCACCTTTCAGGCAACCAGTTCATCCTTGAGTTGTTTCACGGACCAACAGGATCATTTAAAGATTTGTCCTTACAGCTTATGCCTCACCTTTTTGCACACTGTATCCCACCAACTTGTAATTATATGATACTTGTAGCTACTTCAGGAGACACTGGGAGTGCAGTCTTAAATGGTTTTAGTAGACTTAATAAGAATGACAAACAAAGAATAGCTGTGGCCACATTTTTCCCTGACAATGGAGTAAGTGATTTTCAAAAAGCACAAATAATTGGTAGTCAGAAAGACAATGGATCGGCAGTGGGTGTCAAGGCAGATTTTGATTTTTGTCAGACAGCTATAAAAGGAATCTTTAAGGATTCTGACTTTACTGGCTTTCTTACTATGGAATATGGAACAATCTTGAGTTCAGCTAATTCTATAAACTGGGGCCGACTGCTTCCCCAAGTAGTTTATCATGCTTCTGCATATCTTGATCTTGTCAGCCAAGGATTTGTTTCTTTTGGAAGCCCAGTTGATGTCTGTATTCCCACAGGAAACTTTGGTAACATTTTAGCAGCAGTGTATGCCAAAATGATGGGAATCCCTATTCGAAAATTTATTTGTGCCTCTAATCAGAACCATGTTTTGACTGATTTTATAAAAACAGGTCATTATGATCTAAGGGAAAGAATATTAGCACAGACCTTTTCACCGTCAATCGATATTCTCAAATCATCAAATCTGGAACGACATTTACACTTGATGACTGATAAAGATGGGGAACTAATGTCCAAATTATTTAATCAATTAGAAGAACAACGTCACTTCAAGGTAGAAAAGATGCTAGTTGAGAAACTTCAGAAGGATTTTGTTGCAGATTGGTGTTCTGAGGGTGAGTGCCTAGCAGCTATTCACTCCACCTACAATACTTCAGGGTATATTTTGGATCCACACACTGCTGTTGCAAAAGTGGTTGCAGACAGAATGCAAGACAAAACTTGCCCAGTGATTATCTCATCTACAGCTCATTACTCAAAATTTGCACCTGCTATCATGCAGGCTTTAAAGATTAAAGAAATCAACCAGACTTCATCAAGTCAGCTTTATTTACTGAGTTCTTACAATGCATTGCCTCCACCACATGAGGCTTTATTGGAGAGAACAAAACAGCAAGAGAAAATGGAGTACCTGGTCTGTGCAGCTGATGTAAATGTCCTGAAGGGTCATGTGGAAAAACTAATACAAAATCAATTCACATAAAGTTTTCTAGAATAAATTTTTTTTCCCTGATGATAAGCATGCAATAATAATTCGCAAAAGTTGATTTGGAATAGAATAGCATTGTTATTTATATGAATGTCTATGACTGTATGTAGGTCTGTTATCTTTGGATTTCAGCAGCCTAGTTTCTAGGACTAAGCATGGTATCTGTACGTGCTTCCTGTATCCTTAACGCAGAAACCACAGGGTAGCATGGTGCATGTATCCTTGTGTTGTTGTGCTATGCTTTGCACTCATGAGGCTGTATCAGTTTCTACTCACTCCCACTCTGAAGTGGATGGAAATATCTGGTAATCAATATGGCAATTAGTATATTTAAACGTGGTTGTTAAGTTCTACACCTAGCTAGGGCTCTATTGACTAGAGAGATCACTTACCATTCAAATGGCAAATCTGTGAGGAGGAAGTCTATTTTGGAGTATAATGAATTATGTGGATCCTACACCATAAAAGATAAGTGCTCCATCCTTTCTTCCCTTTAAATGTTTATAGTTACAATGATGTAAAAATCGAGATGTGATTTAAATTCAGGATGTAGTAATCAACGGAACTGCTTAGTAGTAGATAACAGAAATAAAATGATCTATTTCAAGAGAAAAATTTTCTGAAATTCAGACTTTGAGCAGTCTTAGAGATATAGTTATGGTCGTAGGTAGTAGTTTTCTTACATTTTATTGAATTCTAGCACAGTTTGCTGTGTCTTTTTTCAGTATCTCTCAAGTACTCTTTGTCTAGCAACTAAAACCACACACAGCTGATGTATCCATTTAATTTTTACTTCTTTGTCATAATTTTAAAAGCCAAGATTTTAAAATTATTTGTGAGTTCACTGTTTTATTTCAGAATTAAAGATCGTCATCGAATTGACCTGTTAGTATAATGGACTGCTCTCAACCACAAGATGGCATTCCTAACATAACTTGTCTTTGCAATGTGGTCTGGGTCATTCTTGTTCCTGAGAAAATATATTAAAAATTACAAAGAAGAAATGGTGGTCATTTAATGAATAAGAACAATTAAAAATTTTAATTAAACCAATTGTGTTAACATTGGATCTCTGACTTACCTTCTAAATATTAAGTATCAATCAAAAATTGTTTCACTCATTTGTGGAATATAAATAACCAAAGAAAACATTTATTCTTAATTGCTTTTAAATGGTCTACTTGTATTTTGTTTAGATTAGTCATTTCTATTCTTAGGTTAGTCAGGTGTAAGCTACTCATCAGAAGTTGGAGGAATGAACAGGATGAGATTTGAACCTGCTGGTTTCCTCAAGTGTATTTTTACAATAGCGTCATCTTGCTCCAGCACTTTTCTTTGGCTGATCAGATTTATATTCCTACCAGTTTCATGGGAAAATAGGAGAATATGATGTTAATCTAATGAGTTTGAAAACATAAGATGTAATGAGGGAAATATGGGTTTTCCCCACTAATTAAATTGCAATATATGTGAAATATAGTATATTAACACTAAAAGTAAGAATAATACATAAAATAAGTGCTTTCTTATATATTAGAAAGTAATGTATTTGACATATATATATATAAAATATATCACAAATAGAATTCTGATCAATGAATGTGATCTTATAAATCAAACATTTCCAGTGGCTTAAGTCAGTCTTTGGTTTGTATTTTTTAAAGTTTTATTTATTTTCATATAATAGTTGGGGTGCAGGCTAGAGGTGCTAGGGATTCACCAGAGACAGAGTGAGGAACAGGATAGACAGATTGGTTGAAATACACTGCTGAGGGGATCAGCATGTGAGACAGGATAGGTCTGCTCTGCCGTGTGGGTCAGCTCCATGGATGGGGATCAAATTCTTGCTGCAGTTGCTGCAGATAGCTTTCTAGTGCTGTGCTTTAATCCCTTGCGTTATCAGGGAGGCCCCTGGTTTGATTTAGTATTAACTAAAGCCTTGGTAACTTTCTTGGTATACATTTTGTCAGTAGTAAAGGATTAAAAGAAAAAAATAACAAGAGGTTGGGAGTAGTGCTTAACAAAAGCTATGTGGGGAGGGTTTATGCAATTATGATTGCATCTAACAATTTCCTATTTATAGGGGAGACAGTCTATCTCCTGGGAGTGCAATCAGAATGACACTAGAAAATCATGTCTGAAAAGCTAAATTGATTTATTAAAAACTATGTACACTGTGTGAAGTATTATAAAATTAATATAACATTTAAAAATTCATGATCAATAGCTAGGGACTTTTCATGAGAACATTATGTGTTAATAGTCATTTTCTTAGGTGGATGTTACTATCCATAATTTAATGATGCAAATTTATTTTGCATCCTACATGTGAAAACATTTTCCCAGATGCTTTCTAGAGGCAGTTCTGGAGCTAAGTCACCTGCATCCAAGTCCGCGTTCCAACACCTGATGTGAGACTCTTAGCAAGTTACTTCATGTTCCTGTACCTTGGCATATTTATCTAGAATGTAGGCATTAAAAAAAATCCCTGCCTTATCGGGCTGTGAGAAAGTAAAGTAGTGCATGTAAAACACTTAAACCTTTGCTTTCTTGAGCCCTCCCTGGTGGCACAGTGGGCTAAAGCACAGCACTAAGAAGCTAAAGCCACTTCCGCATGAGTTCGATCCCCGTCTGCCCTAGAGGTGACCCACATGGTGGGACAGACCTCTCCTGACCCACCCACTGCTCCCCTCAGCAGTGTTCTTTGACAATATGCCTGTCCTGCTCCCCATTCTGTCTCTGGTGAATCCTCTCACCGCGCCTGCACCTATGGCCTTCCCCAGTTCTGTATGCACAAATAAATCTTTAAAAAAAAAAGCTTTGCTTTCTTTAAAAACATTACCTTCCTATAGGATGAACCTAGAGATTTATTTACTGAGGTTCCCAAAAGTCTTTAAGTGGTTATATATACTAGTTTAATTTCCCTAGAAATGCATAATATTTAAATAGAAGTTAAGTGGAAAAAACTGAAAATTTCTGATTTTTCAAGCTACTTGAGCTTTGAAGAAAACAAGTAGAGTCTCACTTTGCTTTTCACCAAATAAAATTAGTTTTTGGCAATAAGATTTAGGGTAATTGACTCCATGCTGCTGGCAATTTAAGTATTGTCTAGTCCAATTATTACAGTTTAGGGAACAGAAAAACCCAGTTTTTTTCTTATAAATTTAATCCCAATAAACAAACATTCAAGGTTTTTTCAGGGATATGATTATGTTCTTCAATATTTCCATGATAAAGCTGTCCTTGAATGTCAGAAAGCAGGATTCAAACCTCAGGAGCAAGTAAGGCTGTGAGAAAATGCTTCATTGTCCTCCAGGGTCACTCAGTATTTGATTATCTAAACTATTGTGGTCAGGATGAGCATGGATAATTAAATTGTATGGTCAAGCTCTTGTACCTTAGTTTAGTGGCGACTTCACCCGTCTCGAAGTTTTCCAGAAGAGTTTTAGTAAAGCAGACTTCACTCTGTTTCCTCTATAGTTCAAAAAGTATCAACAAATACAAACAAGATGTCTTCTAAGTCTCATTTCCATCTTCTATAAAGGAGTGGCAATAACAATGAGACAAAATACAGCAATCTAGGCAATAATTCCCTGAGAAGATGGGTTCCATTTCTGGAACTATCTGATTATAAAACTGAAAACAACTTAGGCCTGAGTTTGGGTTCTAATTTTTCTTTGTTATTTTCAACAATCTTAAAGGCTGTTTTCCTTTTTCTTCTCATTACAGTCTTTTCTGACTCCTAAAAGTAACCATAGAAATAAACACTGCTCCCCTCAGCAGTGTACTTCATCAATCTGCCTGTTCTTTGCCCTGCTCTGCCTCTGGTGAATCCTCTCACTGCCTCTGCACATCTGGCCTGTACCCCAGTTCTGTATGCATAAATAAATAAATCTTATATAAAAAAAAAACACTCGACAGAGTGTCCTAACATTTTTCCTAATACACACATTCAATGAAAGAAAAAATTAAGAGCCTGTACATGGAATCAGTTTAGATAATTAATTTATTTCTCACAGAATATTTTTTTCTGCCTTTGTCTCTCTAGTTCTTGACATATAGTTTCTGAAAGTATTATTCAAGGTCAGGACCCTGACCACCATTATCCTTACCTTGACACCATGTTTGCACAGGTTGTCTGTAAATTTTCTTCAAGAAAATTTAGGAAGTTTTCCCACATCTGCATCTGGTTCTCTCATGGAACCAGAGGTCACAGGGTGGAGTAAGCCAAGGAATATTAGCAAAAAAAAGGGAAGACAGTGTTCAGAGAACATAGTGAGGACTCTTCATTTATTATTGGGGACACAAGGTAAACAGATCAGTCTGAGGTTATGGAGATAAACCAAGAGTTACATAAATGACCAGAACTGAGTGTTTAACTTTTCCACCCAGCCTGGACATTGTATATGGCTTCATGGCTAGGATGTTCACAAACGCTAACCAAACTTGTCTTGATATAAAAGCAAGGCCACGTTCCGAATCCGTGTATTCTAAGACATGAAGGGAAAGGGTCACCAATTCAATGTCTATGTGCAGGAGAACCATCCAGACCCCAGTCAAGATTGAAGCAGATGATGCTGAGGAGAAGCAGAGTCCTACAGGGAACGATCTAAACATGTGGCAGAAGCAAGTGAGACTCGTTGGCCGAAGCAAGTGAGACTCGTTGGCCTACGTGTGACACAGCTGTTCTCAATCAGACTTTTAAGGCCATTCAGGGATGTGAGTAGGCCAGGCTTGCACAACTTGCTGAGGAAAAGATGTTTTTGCAAAGTAGTTCTCAGGTGTTAGGAATCTTGTTGGCACCAGGAATTTGGAGTGAGGCTAAAATTTCAAGTTTTTCTCCTTATGGCAGATACAGATCAACTTGGCAATGTTCCGGGAGAAATGGGCCTGAGTACAGGACAGGAGAAGGAAAGAGAAGGTAGGTACTCACTGCTAGGCAGACAAATAGAATGGAAGTTAAGAAGTCTGACTTTGGATATTTAAATACCATTTCTACTATTTTCTAGCTGTGTGACTAGGGCAAGTTACTAAATCTATCTCACCTCTATAAACTAAGGATAAT